GATTTAATCCCAGGTTACATGCAAACATAGCAGTTTTCATTTTGATAGGGAAATGTGTGTGTGTGTGCGCGCACACACACATACACACACATCATAAACTTCCATAGCTCCGGTGAAAACCCTCCCTGGCTTCCTTGCCTCACAGTGAGGAAGGCTAATTGAGATTCTTCAAGGGAAATCCCTTTTCTTTTCCTTGGTAGCCAGGGAAAGACTCATTAAGCATTCTGTACTCCATTCTTTAGCAGACCCTGACTTTGCTCAGCCCAAATGCTGAAGCCCAGGGAGTGATGTCTGCGGATTCCATTAAGCACGTATTTTGGGCCTCCCTTCTTCAGTGTGGGAAAAGATCCTTGCTTGCTCCTTGGATGAAAGTCAGAAGACAGCCAGGAGAGGTGACCTGGCATGAATCTTGCCTTTTTAGTGGCTGAATGATTCCATTCTCAAGATACTGATACTACCTGTAGAACTTACAGGCTGCAATCTCCTAGGATTCTATATTGTTCCCCACAGCTTTGGGAGAGGGGGTGAGAAGGCACCTCTAACACAATCTTCCCTACCTGCTGATGACGACTTTTTCCTAGTAAAACAAGCTATGGCACCCGTGCCGCAGTGTCTTCACTTTGGAATACCTCTTTCAGGGGATTCCTTCTGTAGCAAGCCTAGCTGTAGTTCCCCGCCTGTGCCCTCAACTGTGCTGGCCAGGGATGATGTGGGGAGGGCTACAAAGGAAAAGGGCAAGGCAAGGCACAAGGCAAGGAGGGCCATGACTTTCCCCCTTTTCATTATGTGTGTCCACTGAGCTGTCCTGTTTCTGTTTTGTAATGGGTTCTTCTATGGCAAGTTGACCTTTTGGTTGAATAGGTCAAACTCCCACGGAGTGCTAATCCTCAGCCTTCCTCAGGGGTGTGCATCCCTGGAGGTGAGGAGCCCTGGCCAGGAATATGACTGGGCGTGTGTGGTAGATTTCTGAAAGAGGATTGTCTTTTATTGCATAGAATTAATTCACAAAGACCACCGTGTGAGATTATGCCGAAGCATCCAGATTGGGACTTTTTCGGGGGGGGGGGGTAATTTACAATTTACTAATTTACAATTGACATTGTTAGGTGGGGGTAAAACTAATTTTTTCAGACATATGTTTTAGACTATGGTTTCCTTACGTGTCTTCTACTTTTTAATGAGAATAAGACCACATGCATGGTCCTATAATTTCATCAGATCATTTGGGGGTTTCTGAAAGAGATGATCAGGTCAGGATTTGCTTAGCTGATTTTTTAACATTAAAAAAATAATACTTCTCCCTATATATTTCTTCCATTTAAAGTCTCTTAAAATCTCGGCTGTTTTGTTTTCAACTCTTCTAAAACATGAGAAAGTAGGATTGTGGTGCTTGTTAATGACAGTAACAAAGTGTACCTACTTTTGTTTTAAATGGCTTTTTCTGCTGGACTATTTATTGGGTTTTATAACACTAGTTACTTTACGGTAAGTAGCTAAGAGATTTTTTAACATCAGATTGGCACTCAGAAAATCTTAAAAGATTTTTAAGTTATATTATTATGGTTTTATTTTTTTTCTTGTGACAATCTCTATAAGATCTTCAAAGTATACAGCTCTCATGCCTCACTGTCTGGAGTTAGTGACATAATCTTCATAGATAAGGGATCACTCGTTCCATTTATTTATCAATGTGCATGTGTGTGTGCACACACGCACGCATGTATGTGTAGATGTGCACTTTGTTTGGTTTAGTGTTCTTTAAATTTCAAAAGATTAGCTTTTAGTTGAAGAAACAAATGAAATATGTCAGATGAAACTCTTACTGTTCAGCAATAATGAGTATAACTTGAGCCTGGCATGGTGGTGGATGCCTGTAATATCAGTGATTCATGAGGCTGAAGCAGAAGGATCACAAGTTCAAGGCCAGCCTCAGCAACTTAGTAGGACCTTGTCCCAAAATAAAATATAAAATGAACTGGTCAATGTAATTCAGTGAAAAAGAGCCCCTGGGTTCGACATCCACAGTACCAAAATAATGATGATGATGATGATGATAATAATAATGGTGATGATGTTATAGGGGGGAAGAAGGGAGTGGGGGTTTAGAAAATGTCAACTTCTAAAATAGAGAAATCTGAGAGCAACTCATAATCCATGTTATTTTTCTGAAGATGATGGACCTCATTGAGGAAATGCTCTTTAGTCCTTCTTTGAGCATTAATGATACTCTATAAACACAATGAGATTAACAAAAAAACCAAAATAACTATGTTCACAGTATTCCTGTATTATCAGTGTCTCAATTCTCAAAATGCCAAGTGTGATAGAATAAGTGCAAGATAAGAAGTCTGTATTTAACATCTATTCAGTTACCAATAATGCTAGAGTTAAAGCAGGACTTCTCACAGGGGCATAATGGGCCCCTGTTTAACATATTTATGTTGGTTGTAAAATTAGGAAGTGTCATTACAGACCCACATCACCTGCATAAGTGCAAAACATATAAATCAAGAGAAGTTCCAGTGCCATAAAAATGCCATTGAATAGAATAGCATGAAACTACTTACAAGATACTTGTATATTGTGCTAGCATGTATGAGGGTGCACTCTCAGGTTTCTGGAGGATTTGAAGAACAAAGAATAACTGTGCAGGTAGGACTTATAGACCTACGACCTGATGAAGACATTTATTTAGAGAGCAGCCTAAACAGCCTAACAGAGGAAAGGCAGGAAAAGAAAGGCCAAAGATAGCCAGGCTTGAACAACCCCTGCCTGTTATTCAAGACAACTGTTTCCGGGCTTCTAGAAAGCATTTTAGTTGCTATCTGTTATTACTGGAGCTTTCCTCATGGGCCTTCTAACAAATAATGCTTCTTTATATTTCCTGAGGTTTTAGGGTCCCCTGTATGTTAGTGGCCCTTGCTTTCTTGGCCCTCTCTTAATCCAGTTCTTCATAGAACAGTTCATGTTCTGTAAAGTTAGTCTATTCTTTTTTAATGAGGTGCAATGGTTTATTTTGAACTTCGTAATTGAAAGCCTTGAAGTGCCCCCCAAATTATGAACTATTAATAAGGATCTTTCTGAATCCTAATTACTGCCTCTGAAAGAAAGTGGACACTTTAGAAATTTTTCAACTCCCCTCTTCTCCCTCCCCAAAGCCACCCACCCCCATAATCTTAAAAAAAAAAAAAAGGCTGCAGATTTTATTCATGTGGGATCATTCACACCAAGCTACCATAATGTGCAATTAACACTCTAGAAACTGAAAACAGTATTCAGCAAGACAGCTGCATTATCAAAAATGCCAAAGGAGTTTTGAAGGGAGTAATGTGCATGTTAGAATAGAAAATTAATCAGAAACGCATGCACACACACACACACACACGGTAGTGCTGTCTTAAATATATCTGAATATTAAAAATTTTTAAGTCCTATGTCTATACTTACAATAAAGATTAATTTCAGGATGAAAAACTGAATTTTTTTCTGTTTTAAAATTATTAGTTGTATGTTTTGCTCCTGAAGCTAATGAGGATGTTAGAGTAGAAATCTCCCAGATCCCTTCCAGCTGGAATTTTTTTTAAAATAATTATCACTCTTCAATTATATTTTATAAATTTTCCCATTGAAAAAAATATCCCTTTTATTTTTCTCTTGCCAGTAATAATGATACTTAACACTCATGCTATTTTCAAAGTGCTTTTCAGACATTGCAAACACTGACTTTCAATTGCAGGGGTAAACTCCCTACTTTTGCACAGCACAATAATCGTAAGTGCATTTATAGCATAATCCCTACTAAGCTACGGATACGACCGACTGACTTAGTAACTGAAATGAAACAGGATTCTCCCAGCAGCATTTTGCTGGAATTTTCTTGTTAACTAGCTGAAAGTGTTTTTAACCATAAGAAAGCAGGGGATTTTGATTTCTATTTTCAATTAGTGGTATCTAGGCTCAAAGAAGCAGAGGTTTATGATAAAATTTTCAAGAGAAGCAGGACACAAAGAATTCACTTGTTGGACATTTAGATCTGAACATTTCCTTTTATAACTAAGAGCAGAGTTTTAGAATTTTATGATGCTTAAGAACAATAAACAGCCACAAAAGTAAACAAACAACCTCCCCTCTAAAAAAAAATAAAAAATAAAAAGAAAGAAAGAAAGAAAAAACCTATCTAGTAAAAGAGGTTTAAAAGCACATTATCAATCCATGTTAAAAAAGAAATTGGAAAAGGAGGACCTGTAATTATGAATTCCACAAATAGAATTCTTTAGGCCCACTTTTGTTTAAGACTGTGGGGCCTCCTGAAGTGGCAGGTGCCTTCGTGCAAAGTTTGTGGGCTATGTCTTGAAGAGGGCCTACCCCAAGCTAATATTAGAACAGTAGTATTTGGGAACTGCTAGTCAGGGGTCCAGATAAACTGCTTGTCAACCCTGTAGAACAGTTACACGTAAACATTTGGTAAATATGAATTTCAACCATCTTAGTCCTAGTTCAAAATGTCATTCATGATAATCTCTTATCTGATATTTTTTTCGTATCAAATTGTGATGAAGTCATTTCATTAGAAAATTACAAGGAATGCCCTATTTGGTATTTGCCCAGAGGACGCAAAATGTTTATGTATGGAGGGGCAGTCAAAAGGTGTTTAAAAAATATTAATACCTTTATTTTAAAGGAATATGAACATTCATATGTTTTTACACCAGTGTCAGAAAAACAATACAAAAGAAAATTATTTATTTTTATTTTTATGTTTTGTCTCTAGATGTTGCTATTCAACCTAAGCTATTCATAAGTCCAAACAACTCAGAACCAAAGTTAATAGTAGGTAGTGTTTCTTTCAGATGTCATTGATATTGTAACTAGATGGTGATGCAATTGGAGAGAAATTAAGCTGCAGGCATGAAATCAGAGCTCCAACTTAATTATTTTTCTTCCTTTTCTTTCTTTTTTTTCCTTTTCTTTTTTTCCTTCCTTTCTTTTTTTTTTTTAAGTTATAGGTGCACAACGAAGGAGAAGCCCCAGCGCACTAGCCATTGAAGTATTTGAAGCACATTTGGGAAGTCACATTTTGCAGGTACCTGTAAAACAAAAAGAAGCTTGCTTATATTTTACCAAAAAAAATAATAATAATAATCATAGATTGACTTTTATATTTTGGTAAATTTTTGAAATTTCAAATATGTGTTTGTTGTTATTTTATCTTGGAACTCTGAAATTCTTATGAATTTTTTTTCTCCTTTTTAGAAAGTCATCCATTGAGAGAATATTAATGAGAAAGGGAGGGCAAGTATTACTTGTGCTGTAATCATTTAGATGGGTTGCTCTATTTAGTCAATGTGCAATGTATAGTTAACTGGCTGTTCCCAGAGTGATTGTGCATATGTTGTGTTTGTAAGTGGATATATGTGTGTGTCTTTGGAGCTATATATTGTTTTCGAAGAGCAAAGTTTTGTTGTAAAAGTACTGTGACATTTTTATGTGTTGCCAAACTTCAGTTCTTTGCTTGAGTTTATATTTGTTACGTGCTTCTAATATTAATGTTTGTCTCTCCAAATTAGAAAATTTCTCAGGGTGACATTTTTTGAAATCTATTTTTAAGTAAAGAAGACTAGTAATAATTGATTTTTTCCCCAGTGAATTTCCTAACAAATAAATGTGAAGGTTACTAGGATGAAGCTATAGTTATTTAACCCTACAAGAGACTCATTCCCAGCTCAACATCTCACTTATTGAAAAACTTTTTCTTAACACTAAGCCATCTATTCAATACTTTTGCGTTCATACATGGGCAATTATTCTACATTATTCCTGCTTCCAGGATAAATGTTGCCATGACCAAATTTTCTTTTAATTGTGAAAGATATTTTTACCTGGAACTTGAGAAGCAGACATGTTTGGGATATTTAGGCAAGTTGCTATATTTTTAAAAAGGTTACATTTTTCTTAGATAAACTTTGTGGCAAAATAAAAGTAAATTCCAAATTCCTGTCTATCTGGAGTTAAAAAATTACCTCAATGGTGCTTTCATTTTCTAGAGATTCAAAAGTAGTATTGAATCTAGCACATTATTCCCTAAAGTATGTATACTACAAGCCTCCTCCTAGTTCTCCCTGGAAAAGTAAGGTAATTCATGGTTCAATCCCAGGAGTTTTCCAGAGCAGTTCTTTTGCTGGTAGTTTCAGAATCACTGGACCCTTGCTGAAAGGGTGTGTTCATGGGCCTCAACCTGGGTCTACTGAATCAGAGATATAGGATCAGGACCAGGAATTTATCATTTTTGATAATCTTCTGAGATAATTTTAATGTTGTTAAGATCTGGGAAATTAAAATTCACATTTGGAAATATGAGGACTTGAGAATTCTGACTTCATTTATTCTGTATTTCTCATTTTTTCCATTAATACATGTTAATATCTCAGAACTGATATTTCTTCAAACCCACTTTAAGAGATGCTATTCCATTGTGTACATACAGTTTCAAGTTACTTTGGCAGTAACCCAGGATTAGTGTTAAGGGTACAGAAAGGATTATATTTCTTTCCAGATTTTATTTTATTTTTTAAAGAGAGAATTTTTAAAAAATATTTATTTATTTATTTAATAGTTTTCAGTGGACACAACATATTTATTTTATTTTTATGTGGTGCTGAGGATCGAACCCAGCGCCCTGTGCATGCCAGGCAAGTGCGTTACCACTTGAGCCACATCCCCAGCCCCAGATTTTAAAATTTTTATATCCTTCTTTCCTGTACATACTTTGTTCAGAATCTCCATTATAAGTTTTGTGTGAGCCCTGACATATATTGTTGGATTGTGATGTTATTCAGGATTACTTCTGTTTATACCCTTAAGCAATCAGTGCTTAAGAATGAATCAATGAAAAAAAAAAAAAAAACGGTTCAAAGAATGGCCCTAGATGATCATTATCTTCTAATTTTATTCTGGAAATCAAGATTCCAAAATCCTATGGGAGAGTGACTTAGGAATTGCAAAAATTAAAAACTAATATAGAACTTAAGATTTGAATCAAATATAACTCAGCATAAAAATATAGATTGGCTCTCTCTCAAGTGCCCATTCAATATTAAGCTTCTTTGAGAGAGAGGATCTAATAGGAGGCTGCTTGCTCTTCTCCACACTGAGTGGCTACACTCTGTTCAGACACTACATTTTAAGAGAAGTCTAGACCTCTGGATGTCATTTGGAAGAAAATAACCAGTCTAGCAAGTGAACTAGAAATCATGTTACATGAAGAATAACAAAGAACCTGGGGAAGTTTAGTTTGGAACACACATAACTTAAAAGGACATTAATGCCCATTCTATATATTTGAAGACCTCACTAAAAAAATAGATGGCTTTGGTTTGACTTCAGAGTAAAGAAAAAAGGAAAGAGGATGGGGTGGTGGTGGTAGGTGGTGTACATCTGAAGAAGAAAAAAGAAATCACACCCAAATACACATGTGGGGTATGTTCAAAGCTGTTGACTTTAAAATGTAAGTGGTTTCATAGATATGCTGACAAGAAATTCAAGCAATGATCTTGAAATTTCCATAGAGACTAGTACTTTTTGTATCATTTGGTTTTTAATATTAATGGTAATGGAGTAGAAGAACTACATAGTCTGTATGGAATTGTATACTATTTTATTCTCTTAAGCAAAAGTATTGTGGGCAAGATGGGGTTGGGAGGTAGTATTATCAGGAAGAGCATCCTTTAGGTTATGTAATTAGTTGCCTTGCCTAATTATCAGGGAAATCCTTAAGCCTGTAGATTCCATGTCTATGGCATCTTCAATGATATCTCAAGGTTCTGCAAGGTTAAGATGATTTCTACATCTTGTTTCAAGAGGGTCTATGGTGGAGTCTGATTGATTCCTGGCATCTTGGGATAAATTCTTCATTTCTTTTCTCCTTCGTACCCTTTCTTCTCTTGCAAATACTTTATAAAAGCTATTCTCAATAAGGTGGAGGTATGGTTTCTGCCCTCACAGTTTATGTCACTTACCCTCCTTCCAAAATTTCAGATACTTAGTAAGAACACAATATTCATTGTATGTGGCTGCCATCTTTAACTACCTTGCATTCATTTGAGGAAACAGGAACCAGGAGTGAAGAATGTTAAACTGGTCAAGTATGATAGGGCTTCAAAAGAGCAAAGACTCTAGAATTGGCCATGAAATGTTAAAAATGACATCTCAAAGTTGTTGATGGATGAATAGGAGTTTCTTAGGTGAAAAAAAAATAGAAGAATATTCTAATCAAAGGGAGTATCAAACACAAAGGCAAGGGAGCAAGAAATAGATCTTGTTGGGGGACTGTTAGTGTGTTTGATATGATGGCTGTTTCACATGTTCAGGAAGCACATAAGACATGAAGGTGGAGAAATTACATGAACCATGTGTGACAGGCCGAGGGAGCCAACCCAGGAGGTGAGGACTTGATTCTCTAACTAGTGATGAGCCAATGGAGACGGCTTTTATGTGGGAAGTGACAGGAAGGATTCGGTTTATTTCTGGAGTTATCAAAATACAGTGTCTAGGAAGTCTTTTGAGTTATGAGAGCCTGATATAAAGAGACCATTTAGGAAATTGTTACAACATTTCAAGAAAGAAAGTGAAGATCTTCTCCAAGGTAGAGTTCTGTGAATGGGGCGGTATTATGAAACTGAGATAGGATCATTGGCACAAGGTCATTAAGTAGAGGGGACAGACTAGGAAATGGAAGGATTAATGATGGTCACAGGTTCTCTAGATTGGTAGCTAGCTATCCTGATCCTTTTGCCTGAGAGAAATTTAAAGGGATATTTTCTTAAATAGCCAAGTTGATATGAGGTGAGCAGTTGTAATCCTGGGTCTGATCCTCTGAAGCAGTGTTGAAGCTAGGGCTGAAAATAGGGCTTGGAAATACTAATCACTGGTGTTGAAATAAATGGCAGTTCAAATCAAGGAATGGATTGAAAAGCCATGGAACTGATGTAGAGCAAAGAGAGGGTTAAGGAGCATATGGGGGCAAGTTGTCACTTAAAATGCAAAGAGAAAAAGAGAAGACAAAAAGGAATAGGACACCACAGAATTTGATTTTGTTAGGGGAAGAAATATTAATAATGTCAAGGTAGCTGAAGATAAATCTTTAATAGGGTAAATACTGAAGAGATGCCTTAAGTTTTTTCAATTGAAACAGTTGCACTGGAGTGTTAGGTGTAGAAGATAAACCTAACACATGGCAGAAGGCAAAGGAGAAGAATGTGGATGTTCGTAATAAAAGAAGTGCAGGAGATGAAATGATAGTGCCAAGGAAATATTTCGTATTTCATGCTGTGAGACTGTGTTTATATGTCTGAGATTTATGGGGCTAAGCAGTTTGTGCATATCAGAAGATAGATGGAAAACAAGCTCTGTTAGCCAATTATATGCTCTTTAGCAATCCGCCTTTTTAAAATCAATATCTTGTGGTCATATCTGTGTTAAGAAAGGATTGATTTTCATTATTATTAATGGCTAAATGACACGCCATACTATGGATGTTTCATAATTTATTTAACTATTTTCCACTATTGGATATTTTGCTTATATCTGAAAGTTTGCATTTCTAATGCAAATACCAACTGAGAGGGTGTACATGTATGTGTGTTTCAATTAGAAGAACCTAGTCCAAATGGATTTTAGCATAGGTTGATTGAAATTTTACTAAGTTTTATGTATTGTGCTAACTTTTCTTCTCATATCATCAAATATTCACAATATGTACCCAGTGAGATAGGTACTGTGGTTGTTGTTATGTTTGTTTTCAAATTAAGTCAGCTAAAACTTAGAAAACTAAAATAACTCAAGTTTACATGTCTTTAGGTAACAGAGTAAAATTTGAACTCAGGATGCTAAAGCTAGATTGAAATACTTCCCAAGCAATGGTGAGAGCATTTTAAAAGACAGTTATTTTAAGAGTGAAAAATTAAGATAATTATAGTTGGAGTGAACAGGATTAGGAAACTGACTGAATTTGGAGGGTGAAGGAGAGGTTAGATCAAAATACCAGTGAGGGGCTGACAGCAGCAGGTGCCATGCTTCCCTGCTACC